AATTTACATTCAGGGACACCATTTCTTGTTGGCACTGCAATTTGCACTAGTACAATTTTATCGTGCCAATTCGGATTTTCTTCTAAAAATTTCTCAAATCCTAGAAACTTTTGTGGAATCCCTTTGATCATATCAAGACGATCAACACCGAATATCACCTATCAACACAATAATTGTCATGTAAAAAATATTTTCCTTGTTGATTAATTATCCTAAAGGCTGTAAGAAAATGTGTTACCTTTTTGCCAGCAAATCTCTCTTTAAGCTCATTCATTTGTTGTATAACTTCAGGGAGCTTACATGTTCTTATAAACCGATCGGGATCTATTCCAATGGGAAACTGAAAATCCAAACAAAAAAACTTAAAGTATGTTTATAAGTTGTAGAGAAACAATGTAAGAGAGGTTAAATATTTGAATATGAAGTCATACAACAGCTACTCGAGTGACTCTGCCTTGATCCACAACTCCTTCATGTGTTCCTTCAACTCCGAGAATTCGAGTGCATGTACTCACAAATTGTCTTGCAAAATCATATGTGTGGAAACTGAAAGAACGTATAAAAATCATTAACTCTTTTGATCCAAATAAAATGATTCCTAATCATTTATGACATTGTCAGAGTTTAAGTTTACCCAAGTAAATCAGCCATAAGAATCGAACGAAGAAGCTCTGATCGCGAAGGCAATGTTTTGTAGACCTATGAAGAAGGAAATGGTGAATGGAGAAACCACCCAACTTTGATATTTTTGTTGTATTCTTTAAGGTATTGAGGAAGAAACATTAGATGATAATCATGGCACCAAACTATATATTTCTCCTTCTTCATAGTTTTCTATGATAACATCAAGAAACATTCGATTTGCTTTCTTGTATGCATCATATTGTGGTTGGTAAGTTTTATTTGTATCATTATGATCTTCTTGTGGAAGTCCCATGTGGTGAAGAATTGGCCACAAAATACCATTGCAATAACCATTGTAGTATTGATCAAAAACCTCATTAAGGAACACAGGGATACACTTCTGCAAGTAGAAAAAAGTGAGAGAGCGAGTGATGTGGGATACGTGAAAAGTTCATGAGTTTTTTTTTATCTCAAAACAAAACTGACCAGCTTTGCGTATAAGTTTATTAGACTTTGATAAATGTTCATGTCTTTCTATTCTAAAATCAATTCAAA